GCTGCAACCTGACTCTATCAGAATTAAGAATTCAAACTACTACCTGTAAAGATAAATAATTTTTCAAGGTTAAGGTTTTGCATCTTGATTACAGGTGTAGTTAATATTGATTTGGCTGAAAATTAGGTTAATAATTAAATAGTTTACCTAATATTAGTCTTTGCCATAAAAAAGCAAAATGTCTAAAAATTTAATAGACATGTGAAATTTAGATATTTGCACTTACTCATAGACTTTGAAATTTTTAGACAGAGATTGTATAGTTTGAGAGAGTAATGGATTAGCCTTGATAACAAAACACAGAAACTCAGAGCTGTTCTGTCTGTTCTTCTGTTCTCACATAGCTATGCTGTGAATACTTGAAATTTACCAATCGCATCACTAATAGGTGTCTTTTTTCCTACTTGAACTTAAGATTAGAGAATACTGGTGTGTGTGTGTGTGTGTGTGTGTGTGTGTGTGAGAGAGAGAGAGAGAGAGAGAGAGAGAGAAAGAGAGAGAGAAAGAGACAGACAGAGACAAAACAAGAAGAATATACTATTTGATAAAAAATCACCATTCCTATTCTAGATTTTCAGGTGCAAAACCACAGTGATTTTGTCTTCTTGATGTTTTACTGAGTTATTAGTACAATTTGGGGTTTATCTATTAGTATAGTCTCATATCAAATACATGCAGAAGATAAAAATGCATGTTTCAAAAGTGAAATCATGAATTCTCTATACATTGTATGACCTTGCTGAGAATTTAGGTCAATAGGCAGAAGATAAGAAAAATTAGCCTGACTTATTCCGTTATGGATTATCTCATATGGTTATTAAATCATTATTGGGAAAGTGTAATAGAAGTTGCTTCAAATTATGTATCACTTTGAACAAACTTTATTGAAGCTTTTACTGCATTAGCCCTAATTACTCACAATAATGATGCAGCACTCCCTTGAATCAGAGCTCCTTGGAGGTGCCAGGAGACTGCAGTAGATCAATAGCTATTGAGCAGTTTGATCACGCAGGCTGACCTGTTGGAGAACTGGTGGCAGCCACTGCCATCCCTCCCTTCTTCCTTCTCTCCAAGTAGCTCGCACACTGACTTGTTCTTAGCCAGCCGCCCTCTCCTGTCCCTTCGACAAATCAATAACTTCACAAACAGAATGTGTCTCAGGTTCTGTGAGACTAAAAAGTTGCCTTAAACAAAAATATTGAGGGACCTTTGTTCAGGTTTAATTCCACGTCTCACATACTAAAGCTAGAAAAGACATGTTTAAATCTTTGACCAGCAAACATTTCTCCTGTACTGTAATAGTTACAAAATAGGGTGAGAAATCTTTTAAAAACTATACTGAAGATCACTTGTTTGAAAAATTATTGTTAATACTACAGACCAATCAATTATTTGACAAATATTTACCAACAGTCTGCTAATGTGCCTGTCAGATGTTTTCCATTTGATTGTTAAGTGGTTCCAAGATTCAGAATGTCTTCTCACATGTCTCCTACAATGCTCAGTACTGGGTAGGCACACAGCTCCTCTTCTGAGCCATTCATTGTATTCAGAATATTTATTGAAGCACTCTTATATGTCAGGAACTGTATCTAGTACTTTAGCACCCATTATTTTTATTTATTTTTAAGCATCCATTATATTTAAATAAGTGTCTAATTACTTGTATTATTTCAGTATCTTTTAATCTCTAAGTGATATCTTAAATTAATTTTGTTTTACAAGCCACATAGTTTAACTCTTATTTCCTTTTTTCTCCCTACAGTTGTCTGGTTTCCAAAATCATCTCATAGAAATGATAAGTTATTAGAATGCAGGTTATCAATAAGTACTGCAAAAAGCCAAAAGTAATTGTAAATTACTTTGCTTATAGTGAAAGCTGAAAAAGGCATTCTAAAGAAAGCAAAAATCAAGTGAATTGTCTCATCAGGAATAGATATGACTATTGTACGTGTAATCGGTTAAAGGTCATTAAACTCAGAAACTATTAACTGCCTACTCTATGCTTGGTTGTGGTCAGAGCTCTCCCTAGCTCAGTGTGGTTAGAGGGAGCTATCTACTCCACAGACTACTCCCCAAAGAAAAAGGATCTAAGAAATCCCATCTCATGTATTCAGAGATGCTGTCTGAAGGTGAGTGGGTCACAAGGGCCCCAATTTTACCAAGGACTGGTCCATTGATGGATTTATAATTCAACAACATTATTGGGAAGTAATAGAAACTTAAAAGGTCGGGTATAGTTGAGGACAGTGAGTCACGGGGGCGTGACCTTGAGAACTGTATCTCACTCTTCTCCTTCAGCTGTCTCACCCTCTGTTTCCAGACTGCCTTGAAGTGCACAGCTCTGCTGCACTGTGCCCTTCTGCCACCATATTCTGCCTCAGCACAGACCTAGACCAACATAGCCAGACGACCACAGACTAAACCTTGGGCCAAAATAAATCTTTCATCTTGAAGTTGACTTTCTCAGGTATTTTGTCATATGAATGAACCCAAGTCCACAGTTAAGAAGAAAGCAATCTGTCTATGCTCAGGTTAGGCCCATGACAGAAGTGGGGTTCCACTGCAAATCAGGCAGTAAATCAGAACATTTGGGCTTCAGTGCAATAGTACAGATTCAGACAAATCCCAGAATCTTGGGAGGTATCCTTTACTGCATATGTGAAACAGTGCTGGACATGAGCCCAGCCTGTATGCTCCCAACTCTCTCAGGTATGTGGGAAGCCATTTATCTGTGGGGAGTGAAATCTTAGGAAGGTCTGACTTCCAGCACCTGGGGTAGATCTCTGGCTTGTTTCTCTCCCAAAGTTCTGAGACCTGGAAACAGACCAAATCTGTGCAGTTCTCATAGGGGTCTCACGTGCATACTGCCAAAATTAAACAGTCCATTTCTGTCCTGAAAGTGTCCTCATATGGGAGAGTTTTGACTCAGCTCTGATTACTGGACAGGCAAGTTTAAAAGTCCAATACCCACCTGTTTCTTTCACCTGTGTGGCACATTTTTAAGTTACTAACCAGAAGCAAGCAGAGGAGGCAAGCCCATACAATCATGTGATCCCAAGAATGATATCTTTCACACTGAATGGAAAGAATGCCAGAAGGAAAATGAGGAACCACCTGTCTTTGACTCCTGGGAAATATCTGTGCCTGACAAGCAAAAGTGGAAACACACAGGCCAATATCTGCATCCATAAAGGGAGGGCTCGGTGCTTAATGTTAGACAAGGTTGAATTATGAGGGTAGGTAGTACAGACCATGGCCCCTATCGTTGTTCTAGCTAAGTGGAATCCTTCTAGTATTCTAGCAATGGCACCAATGTCCACCTCTGCCTTCTCAAAGTGCTATTGATCCATAAGACATCAGAAGTGTGTTCCTCCTCTTTCTTCTGTGACTTTTTCGCCTTGGACTTCTTGTTCTTTCTGGCATGGGGTATGTACTGCTCATTTCACACCAAGTGTGTGCAAAGTACAAAGGCTCATGATCATTTTTGAGAGATGACCTCATTCCTTCAGAGAAAGATTTCCCAAATAACTGGGGAGAATACTGTATTCAAGAGATCTGAAGAGTCTGTTCCTAAAAATAAGCTATGTCATCACATGAAATTATGGAATTCTGTGCCTCCTTCAGAGAATCTATTAATGCACACTACTCAGTTAAAAACTCTGAAACTCTCTGCAGGAAGGAAGACAGCATTCCTATATTTACTTCACAGCAAAAACATCATTTTCCCCACAAAACCCTTGCCAATATTTTGCTGAACTAAATTTCAGGAGTATCATTCAATATATTTCTTTGTTCTCTCAATTGACCTCATTTACTAATTACTGGTATGATTTCCATGAAGAAGGTAGGTGTGTAGTCAATTTCAATTCTCTGCCCAAAGCACCCACTGGATGGGAAAATGAAAAGATTAGTTGGATGGAATAGCAATGATGAGTCTATTCTTGGACTTATAATTATAGTAGGGATATTCAAATACTAAACATGAACAATACATGTTTACCAATGTATTTACTCAAAAAATATCAAAAGAATGTGCATCATTCTCTTTGTCATGAGCATAGCAAGGATCTACATTGTGGATTCTGCCTCTGAGGTGCACACAATTTGCTACAGGGGAGAAGTTAAATACAAAAGATTTTCTAATGTAGTCTGTGAGAAGATACTAAATGGATAGTAGAGACCCTGGATTCTATAGGCATTTGCAATAGCTGTGACTGGTTGGGCCTTGAAGATCTACAGCATATGAATAGGAAGTAAGACTTCCCAAGCACAGGTACTAGGCCACATCCAAGACCTGTGTTCTTCGTGGCAGGGCTGAGCTTGATAAAGTGGGGTTGACATAGGGGATAGTGGGGGATAGTGTAGGGAATAGAGGAGGGCAGAGGTGGCAGGAATCAGGTGTGAAAAACTTAGGACATCTGAATAAAGAGCTCCACTACTGGTGAGTACTCTAAGAACTATTTAGGAATTTGTGAAACCATAAGTAGAACATATCAGCGTCTCAGAGAAACTCAGTGATGACTATCTTCCAACGCTGCTGAGCAAGGGAGGGAGTGAAATGAAGTGGTTGAGATGATGGCTGTGGAATCCTAACTATCCACAGGTTGCTGTGACAGTCACCTCTTTCTTCTAAAAAATAAGGATACAAGAATCTATTTCACAGAGTTCCTTGTAAATTATATAAAATTATATATATCCCTGATGTAGGAACTATTAGTTACTATGGCTTGATGAAGAGCAGTAAGTACTGTTAATATTCAGTTGCTCTTCACTAGACCAGAAAGGACCCCTGCCTCCAAGCTGGTCTTCCTTTTTCCTTCCTTTCCTAGATCTCCTCCCAAGTGAAAAACCCAACACCAAAACAGCTCTCATGCCCAGTGTCTGTGAGAGGCTGGTTCAGCAGAGAGCTCTTACTGTACTCTATAGATCATTTCTGCTACCCTTTTGCCACCCTCATTTTCAGGACGACGAACCCAAAACATTTGAAATGTGCTCACCTGCATCTGCTGTTGCCGTGGAAGCAGCGAGGAGAGATAACACTGGGGTTGGTGGAATTGCAACACTGTCAACTGCAGCTGGCTTCTTCCTGGTCATCATGGTGGACACTGGACCCTCGTTCTTACTATGTGCTGCTGTCTGGTCCACTTTCAAGTGGGGACTTGGCATCCCTAAAAAACAGTAACCCCCAAACCTGCAGTTGATTTAAAGGAACAGGAAGAACATCAACCTGAATATGCTCTGAGGAAATAGTCAAATGATTTGACTGTGTTCTTGTATAAAAAGAATGAAAATTTAAAAATAATAATGAAAATTTAGAACATTTAAAGGAAAAAAGTAATCACTAGTTTTGTGGTTGAGGTTAGGGGTGATGGTTCCAGATTAACTGCCTGAAAGCGTGAGGCAGTCAGAAGTCTCAAGTACCCTTTAGCTTTCTGAGATCCACCAGCCTGAACCCACACATATTACTCTCTGTGTACACCATGAAGGGCAGCTTGTGAAGCTCCCAAGGTAGTGAATCTTCTCTTATGTCAACCAGTTCAGAAGACAAGACTAGGCAACAAGTTCATGCAGGCATGCGCACTGTTCATTCCAGGTGCTTGAGGGATTCTAAAAGAGAGGAGGCAAAACAGCAGAGCTCATGCTAGAGTAGGGTGGGGCTTGGGGAGGTATCCTTGGTGCTGAGAAGAACATATGCAGTGTCATGGGTGGGGATGAGCAGGATCCAGAGAGGGAATCAACCTAGGTGCCCATCGAAGGATAAACAGATAGATCAAATGTGGTTTATAAACATAATTGAATATTAGTCATCCCGAAAGAAAAGTGAAATCCTGTCATTTGCATAAAATTTAGTAAAAGTAAGTTTTAAGTAAAACTTAAAGGCACTGTAAGGGAAATTAGCTAGACACAGAAAGACAGGTACTGCATGTTCTCTGTCATATGTCGAAGTTAAAGAAAAAGTCAACCTAAATGTAGGATAGTGACATTAGGGGCTGGGAAAGCATACGGGAGGGTGGATACGGGGAGGCTGGAATTGAAAAGTTTATGCTGTATGCATGTGTTGAAATGTACTGAAGCCCACTAATGTGTGCAATTAATTCATATTAATTTAATAATAATTTTAAAAGGTTAATCTACTTGAGGCAAGAAACATTGAGATTGCTATGAAATAACAGTCATTAAACTAAGGGAGAGATTTGGGGGTCTTTGGCGGTCTGTTCCTAACACACACTGTAAGTCATGTTTCTATGATGCAAAAGCCCGATAGACACTTGTTAGCTCTTTTGGAACATTGTTTCTGGAGCTTGAATCCAGATTCTGCCACTTTCCTGCTGTGTGAACAGGAGCAAATTACTTAACCTCTTCACGCTTTAAGCTTATGGTTTTAAACTCTATATTTGTACAATTAGCTTTCTTAAGTGTAAAACTGGTGACAGTCCTACTTCATAGGGGCTGTTGGGTCCATCCAATAAGGCAGTTAATGTAAAGTACTTAGAACAATGTTGAGCACACAGTCCGTACTATGTGTCTACATTATTATTATTATTAGTAGTAGTGGTAGTATTATCATTATTATAATCCATTGCTTCCTCAGAACCAATTTTAACCAGTAAGCAAAGGTTTAGTTTTCTTTTTTTTTATATGACCAAGGACTCATGGGCACTTTCAACATCTCCATTTGCAAAAATGTGACCATCCATCTCATTCAAGCATAAATCTAGATTCTGAGGATATCTGATCCACGTCAAACAGTCATCTCTTCCATTTCTTCATCCATATGCTACATGCCACCACTGACAGCAACAACAACAAATTGGGTGTTATCACAGTAGTCCTTAACAAAATTTTCTCCATCCCAATCAGCCTAAAATGATACAGTTCCTTCCCAAAGTACCATTATCTCATAGCCACATTGAGATCAGTTCTACTTGGACCTTGTAGCAACCCTGTGAAGCATGTAGTGTGGATATTACTATTTTCTCAGTTTTACAGATGAGGGAAGCACATTTCTGAGAGTTTAAGGAAAAGCTGAATAAACTCACACCAGTCTTAATGTCAGAGCTTGATGTTTCCAGGTAGCCAGATGCTAAACCTAGGATCATCTTGTTCTACCCAGGCACACCCTGACACATAGCATGAGCACAGTCCATTGAAGCATGTTTCATGCTGAAGATGCAGAGGCCTTAGAATCACACCTGGAAAAACCACCTGTAACCACTAAGGGAAAAGTCACACTTCTATTACTTTCCTCCTGGTCTCCATCTGGTCTTTAAAACTCCTGTTTGAGATGCTTTGCATAACAGTAGCATTTGTGCTTTTCTTTGGATTATTTTATAGCAATTTGACAGTACAGACAGACAAATATTAAATTCTATGACAGAAAGATTGCAAGGTACCACCACTGAGATGTGAAAATGTGCACAGTATGTCCTGTTGGTAAAATATGTGGTGTGATAGTGATAGGCTACATTCAGCATCCGGTACACTTCAAGTGCACAAAGGTCATCTGTAAGGAGACCCCTTGAATAGCATTTGCTACTCTGAGGAAGGTGGTTTTGCGGAGGATTTGTGGGAAGGAATCCTCATGTTTACTCCCTTGCTTCCTTTACTGTTAACATTCTTAAGATCACAAACATGTGTTAGACTTTGTTTCTTTTCCACAGAGAAAATGAACTTTTGGACAAATCTAGAAGTCTATCGGAGCAGGAGTCTGAGGACAAGTCCCCATTTTGGTTCCCTGTACCCACCAAAGCACTATTTTCCCTAAACAGAAGCAGCTCTGGAACTGAAGTATCAGAGTTCTTGCTATTGGACAATTGCTCCTCTGGAAAAATTCACTAATTTCGCATCCTTGTACCTATGGCCACTGGTACTTCTTTGTTTAAATTATGCTGTGCTCAGGGAATGAAGGTAATAAACAGGATTAGGAGCAGGATATTAAACCCTCACTTGGGAACAAACTGATTTCAAGTCATTTCAGTTGTACCCATTTTCATGCAAATGTTCACAATCTAAATTAGTCTCAGTCCGTAACATCTCATTAAAGTTGATCTGATCATACTCTGCTGGGTATACTTTGCCACTCAAGTGTTTATGTTGCAAAATTTGTTAAATGTAATAAAATGACACTTAAAACAGTCTGTCATTCAGATTGTCACTGTGTAGCTTTTTCAAAAACCCTTGATAATGTAGCATTTTCTAGGTTACAATACTGCCTGCTAGTTGTCAATTTTTAAAAACAAATTGAAGGAAAAGAGAAACCCCTGACTTTTTCTTAGTCATTTTTGGGTCTTGAAAGGCTAATGGAAATCATACCAGAAATGACATAGATGGGCAAGAATATCAGATGAACTTTAAACAAAGATTTAACAGCCCTGAATAACTGACAAAATCTGTCTGACATCAGAGGTCTGAAGAGGCTGGAATGGGTGGCCGTTCCCCAGGAGGAAGCACTGGGCAGGTAGTTCCTAGAAGACTTTGTTTCTCTTCATTCCAAGTGGCAGTAGATGCTCCCTAGTGTAGGAGGCTGAAGTGGTGGAACAAGCAGAGTTTCTTCCCTGCCTGAGCCTGGTGTCTCTCCTTCCATAGCAGGGGGTTTTGAAGGCTGTAGGTTAATCATGAAAAAACAAACAAAACAAAACAAAAAAACAAACCACAGGGTCTTGTATTGGCTGAAATATTGAGGTACATTAGCACCCCTGCCTACATGAGGGCCTCAGAAAAGGATCTCGGACTTGGATCTGGGACTTCAGCCTGGGAAGCAATTGCTATCTAAATTCAGAAAGCACAATAGATGGAGAATACTCATGATAGTTGAGTTCTGTATCTCTGTACTTAACACAAGACACACTGCAGCATATATTTAAAGGGGGGGAGACAGTAATACTAATAACTTTGTGGATCCAATATCTGCTCATAATTAAAAGACAGAGCCAAGAGGAAATAGAAAGAAGGTGAACCTATATGAAAACATTCTGCTATAACCTGTTGACCTCTATTGATAAATTAGGAAAAAAAATCTTTGACACTGTGCTATAACCTATCAAGGGACAGTCAATCATTTTCAAAGATAATTTCCCATAGACCACTTATCCCCTCAAACCTCTACCTGCACACTGTGTTTGCATTAGGGACTTGATTTATGGATTCCTACTCTTGCAATGCAGAGGCTGACTTCCTGTTGCCTTGGTTACTTGGAGCTCAGTTCAAGGTTAAACTACTCCCAAATCAAAATCAGTGGCATGCACTGCATCTACTGGCCAGGTTATTGACCGCCCTAGGACGCAAAAAGGTCAGAGACCAAAGCTCTGTTGACTGCCTTAAGGGTGAGTCAATAGCTTCAATATTTTGATTCTGTTTCTCTCAAAGTAGTAGTTGCTGGTCAATTACATCTTCCCCAGGTTGCTTAAGGTCACAAGGGTCATAGCGGAAGAACAGGGTCTATAGTGGCTAACTTTCCCAGGATCCCTTTAATAAGTTTTGTGACCTTGGATAATAAAAACTAACCTCCCCTTGGAGTAATTTGTATGTTGCTTTAAGGTTTATATTGCTAGTTATCTACTTTATCATTTCTTTGTAGGGGGAAGAAACAAAAACAATTTGTGTGATGGCTACTATTTACTCCCCTTTTCTAGAGGAGGAAATGGAGGTGCTTTGGAAAGGTCATGTGATTTATTTAAATCACACAGCTGGTAAGAGATGCCAAGATCTAGATCCTCTGATTTCCTGGCGGGCCTTCATTCCACAGTCTCCTCAAAGTACACAGCTAATGGAATCACCTCCAAGGGATCATACATGATTCATTTCACAACATCCACTGCAGAGAACAGTATATCTGGCAGATAGTATATGATTATATAGATTTGTGAATAATTTAAATTAATTTTCTATTTCTAAAACTGTCAAATGCAGGTGTTTCCTGGTAACAAAGTCTAAGCATGGTGGGAGAGGTTGATGCCACTGGGAGGATTAATCCCTTCAGTCACCTCCCTGGTCCCTGTGTACTGCAGAATCCTGGCACTAGCATGAACTAAGATTGAGGCATATTGAACAATTAATGGTTTTTAATTTTGTGAAGAATTTTGACACGCATTAGGCTATTTTCTCCTTACAGCATCTTTATGGATGAAAAGGGATAGATGGTGAAACATCGAGTTCACAGATGAGGAAA